ATGTGGTGAGCGTGGTGTTGCCCCCCCCGGGGTGTGGGAGGGGGATGTGTGTGCGTGTAAGGGGTGAGTTAAGTGTTAGTGATCAAAAAAGAGCAAAAAATCCTATGTGAAATTGAGTGGCCCTTAGGGGGGGGTTTGGGGGGGACCAACCTCTCCCCACCCGCACCCACTTCGGGTGCCAAATTCCCTCTCTGCTTTTCTGGGGGGAGGGAGAGGCACGGATGCTGTGATATGGGGAGCTTGAGGTGTCCCCAGCAGCACCACCAAGGCCACCAGGACACTCCTCTGGGCTGAGCCCGCTTGGAAGGGGCACAGCATGGAGAAATCCAACTCGTCGTCCTCCTGTTCCCTCTGGGAGGTGGGAACCCCAAAGCCAGCACCCCCCAATGTTTCGTCCCAGCTGATCCCTGGGCTCATGCCATTGCAGGGACCCCCAGCCCATAAATCCCCATCCCAAACCTGCTCCCCGTGTGCCACCAAACCCACTGCCACTTCCTTGGTACCCAACAACCCCCCGCCCCCTCCCCCCACTCCCCAAATACAAAGCACCTTCACCCTATGCTGCATGGCCATGCGAGGACATCCTGGAGGCTGGGGAGGCGTGTTCCAAAAGTGCAGCTGTGACGCAGGTGACGCACATGCGGGGTCACGGAGAGGCACAGAGCAGCCCCTCCCAGCCCCATAGCTTTAATTCCAAAAGAACACTGACTGTACATATAAATATTTACTGCAACGCAGGGACGAGATGTGTCTGCTCAGAGCCCCCCCAGGGCCACGCTGAACCCCTGCTCAGACACCAGGAGCTCTCAGGCCATGGCTGGTTGTACTTTGAGGGGAAAAAAAAAAACAACAAAACAAAACAATAACTGTTTAGGATGCAGCTCTGCATTGTTCCCTTTGACTCATGCAATACAAACACTTTTTTTTTTTTCTTTTCTTTTCTTTTTCGGATAACAGCTGAACAGGAACTGAAGCACTCCCTACCCACAGATCCACCGCTAACGAATAACCCAGGGTGAGTTTCACGATGTTAAAGAGCAGAAAATGTGGAGCACGGGGCTTTATGCTGGGAAATTCCTTTTTCTTTCAAAAAAAAAAAGAAGAAGAAGATCAAAGCTCTATAAATTAACAGATGGGTGTTACAGTTATTTACACTGGACGAAGCTGAGCGAGAGCCTCGTGCCTTTCTCAGACCATCTGGGAGCAAATCGAAGCCAAGGATTTGGCCGAAGCCTTTCGACCTCGTGTATCCTAACACCCGAGGGGTCGTATAAAACGTTAGCTGTATTCACAGGGCACTTGTTTGTGTTAGCTTTAGCTTTCCAGATTGCTTTTCATCATGAGACCTAACAGCAGGCAGCCTGCTCCTAGCTCTGACGATGACAAATACATTCGCAGCGCTTCCTATAACTTTTGCGTCACCAAGAAATCAAAAATAAAAACCAAATCCACATTCGTCCTCCTGTGGTGTTGGGGAGTGCTGGCACGCGCTGCCCGGCCGCTCTGACGTCTCCTTTCTACTTCTTCTCCTTCTTGCCAGATTTCTTCTTGTTGCCACCCGAGGGTTTGGCGTCGCGTTTGCCGGCGGCGTTGCTCAGCGTGGCGGTGCTGCCCGGGATGTAGACGTTCTGCCGGTAATCAGGGACGTGCTGCAGGGTGAACTGGGGGCCGTAGCGGGCGCTCAGCCCCATGGTGCCTGTGCCCCCACCCAGGGTTGCGTTGACATCAGCGGCTTCTGCAGGGATGGAGGAGAGGAGCGGGGTTAGCACAGGCTCTGAGTCTTCGTTCCTGTCGCATCGGGGAGATGCCCGCGAGCATCCTTCTCTTCCCTCCAGAGGGAAGGCTAGGTTGAGCCAGGACTTGGGATGTGGGAATGGGATGGGAGGTGGAGATGGGATGGGGATGGGAATAGGGACAAGGGTGGGAGGTGAGGATGGGGTTGGGGTTGGGAACGGGAGGAGGGGATGGCATTGAGGATGGGAGGTAGGGATGGATAGGGTTGGGGATGGGAGGTAGGGATGGAGTTTGGAGCGGGGATAGGAA